ACTTTCATGATAAATTTTATGCACTTGACTCTAGGCTAGGTGATCCCACACTGTATCTACTTTAGGCTTATTATACCAACACTTATAAGGTTTCATGGCCCCCTTTGCACTCCTGTCACTAAAATTGTAATGAGCAAACAGTAATCTAACTATTCTATCTGGATAAGTGCATTTTGGCTTTTATGACTCATCCTATTTATTTTGAGAAATCAAGCGTGATGCGACACACACACTGGCTTTTATATGGGTATGTATACTATACTTATATTATGTAATTTTAATACAATACTTGAATATACCAAAATAGATATTCTACACAGTAAAATATAATGTTTCTTCAACGATCATGACTACAAAGTAATGTTTGATGTTTCTATTCTGTTATATTGGTACCGTTAGTAGTGCTCCATCATGCCAACTAGACCTTCTATCAGAATATTGATCAGCATGTGAAGGAGAAGCCATTACAGCAAGAAATCTTATTAGTATGCAGTTTTACACTATTAGTCAGCAACCCGTCGAAAAGGGAAACCAACAATATTTTGACAGTCTAGAAGTTGTACTTATTTTATTAATGTTTTACTCTTCTTAAAGTTTTTATTCGACAGTAGTAGCCTTAAGGTATCTTTAAGTAGATTTTATACGTTTTCATTGTACTTATACTGAATAGTGGATGAATGAATTAATTACTGATTTCAGACACCTCTCAGGATGAGAATAAAACTATCCTATACCACACTTGGTATGACAGTTGAAGAACAAAGTGAAATAAAAAATTTTCCATCAGCTGCATGGCAGTGAATTAGTTTAGCATCAAAGAGATTTCAGGCAGGTACATGTTAATATACAACTCTGTTTATTGGCAAGTGTTGTAAGTTTAGAAAATTTTATGCAAAATATGATTTGTTTTTGTGAAACTGTCCTTAAATGAGAGCTTTAACATACTGTTTTTTTAATAAACCCTACTTTTAGGGAGCTTTCAATTACAAGCATAAAAACTGAAATCTAAAACAAAAATTTGTCATTTTATATTCATTATTTTGAATTATTAGGTTAGTATTTACAGTAATAAATTTAGGCCATTATCTATCAGAGCCACATCAAGGTGGTGAAAAATACATGCTTTTATTTGTTGAAAAATTATTTTAACACTATTATTTTTCCTTTTGTTTCGTTAAGAATGATTAAATTTTTGTCTTAACATTAGTGTTTTACAGTGTTGAGACATATTCTGGAGTCATTGTTCTTAAAACATGATGACCAATAAGCTTTCATTATTAAGGGATTGTAAATGACAGGATCTATGTTTTTGAGGCAGGTATACAAACAGAAATGGGGATCAGACAATGGTAGATTCAGTGATTTTAAGAGAGCAAGAATACAAACTTGACATCAGACAATAGAAAATTCTCTTTTTATAGAACAGGAATACACAAACCTGGATTGAGGTCACACAATAACAGATTCTTTGCTTAGAGAATGTGAATACAAACTGGTATTGAGATCAGACAATGACAAATTCATTGTTTAAAGAATGGGGATAGAAACTGGGATTGAGATCAGACAATGACAGATTCATTGCTTAGAAAATGGGAATATAAACTGGGATTGAGATCAGACAATGACAGATTCATCGTTTAAAGAATGGGGATAGAAACTGGGATTAAAATCAGGAAATGTCAGGTTAATTTAGAGAACAGGAATTCAAACTTGAAGAAAACTGCTGTTTAAAATATGAAAAAAAACTAAATGAGATTCATGAAAACCTTATGAGAGGTGGGAAATATGAGCAAACACTAGTTTCAAAGGATTTCTGAACATACATCCTTCTGTACTTAAAATGACTCACACACACCTATTCAGCCATGTTCTGGACAAATGTGATTTCTCTGTTCTAACAGACCAGTTTGATGTTCTTTTCTGTGCTTCTGATTATCAAACATCAAACTCTTAAGAGTTTAAGAATCTCTGACCTTAAACTAGAATTGAATTTGTTATTGCACTTATTTGTATTAACTTCTGATCAGAGCAAGCTACTTACATTGGAGCAGAACTAAATTTGACATTTTGTGTCTTGTAATAGAAGTTTTAGTTTATTTTGGGGTGAAAGGATTCTCCTAAAATTATGATTTGTTGTATTGTAACTTGATCAAAAAATAATATTACTATTTTTTGACATCAAGCATTTTATTTCTTTACATGTAACAGATAGCCTATATTCCAGTATTACTTGGAAAGAAATGAGCAATGCTTGATTAGGAATCTCTTCTCACCAAAAATCATTGTTAGGATTTATCATGAACATGTATTGACTTAAATATTCTCACCATTACATACACACTTCATTTCATTTACCAAAGCAGGTTAACAATATACCTGAGTAAAGGACAGTGACATGTTGGGCTTAGTGTAGGCTAGTAATTACATGTTGGACTTGGTGTAGGCTAGTAATTAGCATGTCTGAATTATGAATCTGATGGTTTGTGACTCATGACCCATTGCTGGAAAAATATACTCTGCACTTTAGGGCCATGGGTGCACTATAAGAGTGACAGTCAAACCTCACTGTTTGTTTAGACAAGAGTAGCTCCAATATTGTCAGTGGGCACTGTTGACTAGCTACTTTACCTTTAGTCCATCAGGTCATAACTAAGGACAAATATTTAGAGATAGCTTTGTAAAACATTCTGCAACAAGTAGTATCATACCCTTACTTTTTACTAACATGACATACTTTCCACTTTCAGTTATTTCATACTTAATATTTCTGTTTTATTCTATTTCAGTAAGTAACTCTGGCATTAGCACTGTCTGAAATGTTGGAAGTGATAGATCAAGCCTTACTTCATCTGTGATGGATTATTTCAACCACTGCTGTGTATTTAAAGAAACCTCCATCCAGTTTAAGACCACAACTGTATCACTTGTCATAATGAACTGGTCAATCCCTATTTAAAATTTTTCTGCATTCTCAGAAGGTTACAGAGTTGATTTTTGTGCACAAAAGCAAACAAAATCCAAAAAATAGAGTTTAGTTGTATAAAAATAAGGTTGGCAGAATATTAGTCATATTTTATGACCATTCCACTACTTTTATATAAGAATGTATGTTTAATTTTCCAAGTTTTAATATGGTTAAAGTGTACATCAAACTCACACATCTGGTAATGTTATTTCAGATATTAAAAAAAGAAACAGACCAAGGAACTTTAATATTTTTAGAATTCCATAAAGTCCAACACAGTTGATACATGTTTTTTAAACACTTAAGTTGAGTTTATTAATAAACTGTAGTTAGTTTCATGAGTGATGTTCTGACAACAAGTACAATTCCACTACTGAGTTTTTGTTGAAGTGATGTTTTACAAGCTGTCCAGAATTGTTTCCTGTCCAATTGATAAGTAAGATTTTTAAACTAGAGTTTTATAAAGGAGTGTGTTAAGTTCAATTTGTAAGACGTTAAAAGCAAAAGAAGCATAATTTCATGGTTGAATTCAGTCAGCAGACATCTGAAATGTGTCAACAGTTGAAATTTTCTGGATGAGTTACATTACTAGATACATTAGAATTTCTATCTGGTATCTTTATCATGGTAAAAGAATTCTCCAATTAGCATTTTTAGAGCTGTATTTGCTTTAATAATTTCACTGTTGTTGCTTTAATGATATTATTCTCATTATAGCTTTTGTTAAACACAATTTTTCTGTAAAATGGCATATATAATATATACACAATGCAATGATTTAAACATGTTATAGTTACCATTTAAGAACTAAAATAATTTGAAATATATATTTTTATTACTTCCTGCTGGTTCACTGTATACACTATTCAATATGCATGTTGTATTGTAATTACATGTAGTGGGATAATTTTTTTCAAGCTCTTGTTTTCTGCCTTCAGTTTCTCACTTAAGAAAAATAATCAGTGAGACATTTTATGTTTTAATGGGATAATTTATAAAAATTTTGTGAAAAAAAAAAGTTGAAAATTATGGAGTACTTAATTATGGTTTTTAAACTTCCAAGTGGCAGACAGGATTATTTATTACCGATAAATTAAATAGTTTATGTCTGTTTAATTCTGTATACTCAGTGTCATTAAATATTTTGTTTGTAGGTTATTATAATTGCATAGGTATCACAAACGAAATAAACATTCCAGGGGTAAAGTATTATCATCAGAAAACTACAGAGAAAGTGTTTTGTTGACCAAAATGTGTATAATGGAAAGTCATAAATATTTCACGTGGCACTGCAAATGAATGTTAGTTAGTAATTGGCAATTCTTTCTTTTTAGAAATATTATTTTATCACAAAACTGTTGTACCCAAATAAAGATAATTATTATAAAAATATCTGATACTTGGTTTGTGTTGTATCTTACTTGCATTACAGAGTTAGTTTTCATCCATTAAATGCTTTGTAGAACTCAACATCTTAGGTAAGTAAACATTGGATTAGCATTAAACAAGCTTGATGGCTTGAGAGAAACACTTAACTTTTAGCAGCTTCTAGTAAATTTTATGTGTAAGTTGGCCTTTACCCACCATATTTTGAAAAATATTTACTTGTTTAATTGTCACAGTTTTTTAATAAGCCCAGTTTTAAATACCACAAATGTGATTTTCTATTGTAAAAAGTATGTGAACTAATTCTAAGGAGTTTCACTGTTAAGACTTGTATCCTGTAAACAATAAAATATGTATATTAGGGAAGGGTCAAGATTTCTGTGCACACAAGTCAGGGATGGGTCACTTTTCTTTGCATAGTAAAAAAAGGCTGTCTCAGGATACAGACGTACTATTACTTTCCATATTATGAATATCCAAATATGAAACATTTGTAACAATTGACAGGATTTGCTTTGACACTTGACTCATAAGGAAGTGAAAATTTCAAAATTCCTGATAATTTTACATGATATGCATAATACAAACACGACTTGAACATGTATTAAACATTAAAAGTACCATGCTTTCAAATGCACGATTCAGTCCTTATAAGATGAACATAATTCATATTACATGGTAAAACATACTTGGAGGATATACTAAAGGAGATTCATGTTAAACATAATAATCTCAAACATTTGCATTGGTCTTGAAATAGCTCTCGGAAATGCCCAGTGCATGTCAAAGCCACAAAAATTTGATTGTAATTAAACTGTCAACCAAAAAAAAATAACCAATGACTTAATTGTTTAATTATTAATAATGATGTTTAAAAACGAGATATTTATTAAAAAAAAAGAATATTACTATGGGCCCCGAACCATAGAAAAGTAGGATAAGGCATACATATATATATATATATAGAGAGAGAGAGAGAGGTTGTCTCAGTAGGGTTTTTTATGTATAATGCCTGGTGCTGGCTCAGTGGTAAAATCTGAGGGCTGCATAACACTTAAAATTCAGTTTCGAAATTAATGGCATTATAGTTGACATTTATTCATCTACAGCAAAGAGAGCAAGTGCAAGTTTTATGTTGTATTTAATGTCTGAAATATTATAAAAAAAGATCCTTTAGCAATTATAAAGATAAGATTACAGTGTATACTTGAGGTTCTTCACGATTACCAAAGTATATTTAAAAGTGTTAAATTGTTACTACTAGTAATAAAAGTGTATAATCTTTTTCATTATTAATCATACAGACTGAGCATGTGTATACATGTTAGATTATCAAAAGTTGGCTGCATAAAGAAGTATTAAGCCTGTTAAAAATTCATGCTTCAAATAATATTGTTAAAAAAAAACTGGTTCGGTGGCTAGCTGGACTTCTAATTTTGCTTATAGTTGAAATCTTTTACTCTGTACAGTTTACCTATGAAAGAACTAGAGTGGTTTATGATATACAAAGAACGAAGTTTACTCAAGGAAAAACATTCCCGTTATTTTAAAGAGCCACAGCTCCAATTGAACATTAATCTCAAGAAATTGTAGCTGACTTTCTACAAGTCCTAATGTTACAATACTGTTTTATTTTACTGACAACCCACAAATAAAAAAAAATATTCAGAGTATTATGTATCTTGAGTAAAAGTTCATGTGTAATCTTGTAAAACATTTGTACATGGTCTCAAAGTATACTGGGCGTATATTGTGTCATATTCTCATTTTTCATTACAATAGGAAATCAGTACAAAAGAAACATACTTTCAGAATTACTTTTTAATTCCTTACTTCCTGAAACAAAACATGAACGGTTGTATGTTAATCTCTATGCAGTATGTACATACAATTGTGTTAGCTGTACAATTATTAACTTTAACTTTTTAGTCATCAGATTATCTCTCAGCTTAAAAAAAACAAAAAAGACATCTGATGATATATATATGTATATACATATATACTGTTATACATATTCACAGTGAACACCAGTCTTGTGGGAAAATTACACTTGCTGGAAGAACGTTTTGATGTGCAATCTTACCTCCATCTGTACATTATTTCAATTCATTGTTTATAGATTTATATCTGTAGGAATTTTTCTAAAAGATGCCTTGGGTCTACCATTTCTCACAAATAGTAAAACAAAAAAATGACTATGTATTTTCTGCTACAGTGAAAGCTTGTGACTGTAGTTCTGAGAAACCTTTGTTTTCATCAGATATGGAGGTATAGAGTTCACAAGAGTCGGGAGCAACATTAGTATGAGATATAGAGTCACTCTTGCTATTTCCTTGTGTGACAATAAAGTTGTCTTCACACATCTGAGACAAATCAGTCACATACTGAATAACATACTGACCACCCGTGTCTCCATTAAACACTAGCTCTCCATCGCCATTCTGAACAATAATAGTGTCTGGATTTAGAGTGACCAAATTTTCTCCATCAACAGCTTCCACTGTAACGTGGGAGTTTAGTGCCCCCTGCTGGAAAACCTGTTGAATAATATGAAGAGCAGAAGCTGTTCTTTCATCCAATTCTCCATCTGGTAGGTTCAAGTGGAGTTTCTAAAGGAAAATAGGATCAGATCTCAGGTATAGATTGCAAGTAATGCTTAGTTTCAAATGAAATTTCTAAATAATAATTAAAGGAAATACTAGAAAACCTTCTGTATATGAAAAAAACCTTTTGGGTAGGTTCAAGTGATTTCTGCACAGTAATAAACCACTAAGAACTACACTTAACATAGAACTATTCCCTTTAGTAAAAGCAACCAATGATCCCGAGAAGTGCTGTTAGGTTAAAGTGTTTTCACTGAATGAAGAAGTATGTATCTGTAAACAATTACGAAAACACCAACAGAGTTTTCTGTAACAGCTTTTGAATTAGGTATCCACTGTATAACATTCAGAACTTGTTAAATACCGCAATCTGTGTATGTTTGTGTCAGACATCTATAAAAGTATTACATGGTTTTAAGTAATAGATGATTTGGGCTGGTCTGAGTGCAACCTTTGACTGTGTAGAGCACTGAACATAATTTTTTTGTGAAAGGTATCTGATGAGATTGATTATACTAAGTATAAACTTAGAAAAAAATTATGACCTGAGTTTCAACTCTTATTACTAAAGCTTAATTTCTCACTTCTGAACTATATTTCCTGAAGTTACAGGAATTCTATGTTCGATGTTTATAGTCCTTTAGACAAATTAATTTTAAAATTGCTACTTAAGAACATACTAAATCAATCTTGCTCCAGATGAGTATCTAGCATCAGTAAGCACTAAAGGTTTATTTGTGACTTTAGTTAAAGTACTACTTTATATCTACCACATAATAAAATTATCAGACTTGTCCAAGTTTACCTGTTCCTCTTCACCATATGCAGGCTGCTCACACTCAACCATTTGAACATGCCGAGGCACTGAAGACTCTTCAGGCATGACTTCATTAGAGTCTGCATGGGTTTGGAGTTCAGGATTATTATTCAGTGTTACTTGCAGAGGTTCTTCACTAACTGTAAATTCCACTTTATCCACAGAAAGTCCGTGGCGTACCTAGAAATAATCACGGGGAAGAGTAGAAACTTTTGACAATGCTGAAGATTTCACTGCACACTTATATCATAAAGGTGAGTCAAGTACGACATGAAAAAAATGTGCCATATGAAAACTATTTAGTTTTTTTATTTTAATTGCAAAACTGACAGGTTCTGTTCTGACATATGGTTTGTTTGTTTTTTGAATTTCGTGCAAAGCTACACGAGGGCTATCTGTGCTAGCCATCCTTCATTTAGCAATGTAAGACTAGAGGGAAGGCAGCTAGTCATCACCACCCACTGCCAACTCTTGGGATACACTTTTACCAACGAATAGGGGATTGACTGTCACATTATAATGCCCCCACAGCTGAAAGGGCAAGCATGTTTGGTGGGACAGGGATTCGAACTGGCCATACTGACTTCCACCATCTATGAGTAATTCAAACATCACTTAACAGAAAAAATTGTATACTACAATGTTTAGTTCAGTAAACTAAGATAAACATAAGAAGTAGTTATATAACAGAAGAAATAAAACATGGAAAGTTAAGAACTTATTTAACAAATATACACCTGGAAAAAAGTTAAGCACCCCCGTCGTTTTT